AAGAGAAAGCACTTATATTATGTTACATGTAGGTATATAAAAATAGTATTTACAATTAATTTTTGAATGTACAATGTAGAAATGTTACAAAAAATCAGGTACAGTATAATAATGCAACTGTCTTGTGTAATGATGATGAACATTAATGTTTATATCAAACAAGTCTTGAAATAGAATTTTTGGAAGACTTGGGTGTTTAATAAATATATGTTTATACCTTTTACATTATATATAAAAAAAACTAACGAGATGAACTCTATTTTTCATATTCCTCCTGAAAGTACCAACAGTCTAAATGGCAATAAAATATGTAGATAAAAAAGCCTCTAAACATGGCATCATAATATCTCATAATTGAAACCCTAAACCTAATTTGTTAACCATGAAAGTCGCTTTATATCTCTTGAATAAGGCGGAAATTGGTGAGATTCGCCCCGCCGGAAGAAAATCAACCTCGGGGCCATTGACCCCGTCATTGCTGAAGTATATCAGGGTACATATATCCTCATAATAATGACAGCTAATATTATAAATTGGATTACTGCAAGCAAAAAATCATGTATGAGCCTTAATAATTAGAGGAAAGTAGCTATTACGGGTGATAACTGAGGTTTATCATGATTTTATGAAGTTTTAATTCCCTGAGTACGCCATAAGAACAGGTCAATGATCCTAAAAACTTGCACCTTTTTCAGTTGGCGAAATATTTCATGTCACACCTTGGCAGATATGTATGTCGGGCGGCATGGGCTAATTGGATATTTTCCGTGTATGTAAACTTTAATCAACAGAGCAAATACTAAAATTGGAACATATGTACAATCCCCATAAAAAGCTTGTCCACAGAAATTATTCTATTCTAACATTTGTTAAATCATATTCATGGATGCGAAATTGAGACTTATCCAATCCGACAATATTCAAGTACTAGTATTTAGATTTCAATTAATAATATTTATTAAGGAATATAGCCCAAAGAGCTGGTGTATTATAATCGAATACACCCTGCAGGGCTAGGTACAAACGTTTTCTGTACCTCGAACGACCGAAAGCTTTTGTGCCTATCCCTAGGGGTGTATTCGATTATATTACACCCGCGCTGGGGGCTATATAACGATTCGAACATAAACCCTTACCAAAATATTGCAAAATCATCAATTTTCAGGTTCATTTCCACTCTTCATTTCCTACTTCCGTTGTTTGAGCTTTTGGCTGTTCCAATTTGTTAACTTACCTCCTCACCCCGACTTAAGTTTTTTTATTGACATTTTGGCCTATTCTATTTGTTTCACGCATATCTACAACATTGATAATTATTGAAATTATTTATATATTGCCCAGAAATAAAAAAGATCTCGACCATATCCATATCAAGGAGTAATCACTGCATTCTGCTAAGTTCTTTCGCCCTCTTTACTTTGACCTTTTGATTAATTTTATGTTTTTCGCCATCTATTGAGAAATTTAAAAGGCAAACATGTAAACAATTTAACAATGTTTTTGACCAGTCATTTTGCAGACGAGAGGGGGTGCCAAAAGAACGGAACAGCTTGAACTCACCAATGAGTGCACTGAACGAAACACTTGATACAGAGCCGGGGCATGGATCTCGAATATACCCCGGGTGAAACATTGACTTTGTTCACAGTTTATAGAAGGCGTGAATACAGTCATGTTTGAATTAATATCAAATCATGTTCATGTTTTGCGAATTGAGACTCATCCAATCCGATCATATACTTGACAATGTATAACCGATGAAGAATAACTATATAAAAGCTTTGAAAATAATAAAAGTCGATAACTATTATTAATTGACTTAAATTAACATGGTTTCCAAAGTATTAACAGACTTCTATTTACAGGGTTTCCAAATATGAAGGGGGGGGGGTGTACGTCATCATGCTCTATCGGTTTAAAATGAACACCTAGATTGTATACAAAGTGAAACAATGTTTACAATAACTATCACTAATGTATGTGTTGTATCGAATGGCATGAGTAGATATATAATAGGGGATCTAAATATTCTATAATAAAGTCCATGAAAATATTTTTCATGGACTCTGTCTTTAACGATGTCTCGTTTTACATACCCGGGGATTTAAACATATCCTTCTTATACACTATATGGTTGTTAAGTATGTGAAATCTATTTTATGTGACATAAATATCAGAGACTAATGTTCAATGTCCATATGGAATATGACTCTTGAGAATATTAATCTAGTTCCTCTAATATTTCAAATAAAATTCCACTGTAAAACGTTTTTGTTAGTTATTTTTTGCTTTATGCAGCACAAGCGATGTTCGCTTTGTCTGTATGTAACCAGGACAGTTCGAGAATATATTTTTCTGCAAATAAAACAAAAATCGTAGATTTCTTTTCTTGCTTCTATCCTGTATGTTTCAAGGTTCACTCATCTGAACAAAGCCCGGGTGACAAACAAACCCCGGATATTAAATGACGTCATATTTTGGAAGTTTGTTTTTGCTTGTTTCGATTTCTAACGATTCTATGCGCCCATAGCCTACCATAATGGCACTAATCCTTTTAATATTTCTAGAAATAGAAAGGATCTAGTGCATTATCCATTATGATTTCCCCATGAACAAACTGAATCATTTTAGGTGTAACATAAAGAATACAAAGTCACGTAATACTTTGGAAAATATTTAAGCATTTGAAACCACATGGGCTGAGATTGAAGTCATTAAGTTCAGCAAGGGTGTATTGACTTGACATTGGATGTGCTTCATTGATTAATCATGTGGATATCATCAGATTCCAATGGAGGCCATTGGTTTCTATTGATTTTCACAAAAAAAATTTTTGAATAAGATGTAAGGATGTGTAGGATGCAAATGGATTTTGACAGACACAAAAATACTTCCTGGTTTGGAATCTATGCCTATACACTTCATGATTGAATTATGACCCTAATAAGTGGCCCATACATCGATACAGTGCTCAATATAGTTCTACAAGATACTAAACTAGTGTGCAAATAAATGTAATAGTAAAAGCAGTATACTCATTTTGAAAAATCATGGGGAGATCATAATGTAGAGCGCACTACTTCCTTTTCTTAAACTTTGATATCATCTAGAACACTTCTAGACAACAAAAATGTCCAAAATTTGGGTAGGTTTACTAAAGCAAAACTACGAAAAACGTACCCGCTTTTACTATAGTATCACCTTTTATCGCCCCAATGGCTATATTCTGTCAAGGTCGCCATGTTAAAAATAGAATTATGGAGCTAAAGCTGCTCTTCAGACAGTGTTTGATAGCTATTCTTTACCGCTTTAGTATGCTATGGGATAAAATACTCGAAGAGTCTTTAAATGTCATCAAAAAATGCCAAGACGTGAAAATGCCATTTTCGCACTACTTTTGGTGTAATAATTCCACGTGAGTGATAATTTTGAACCAATTAAATTCTTTCGTTCAAAGCATCTCCTGCCATCTTCGGTTAAGGTAAAAGCATATTCGGCCATTTTGGTTCCGAAAAATTGTGACTCAAATAAGAGGGCTCCTAAAATTAAAATTTAAAATCCTCACTTTGTCACATTTAAAATTTACTTGTCATGTTTTGGCAGATTCATTCCTTTTTAGTCAGTCAAAGCATTTCATGCACTAAATAGTACCCCAAAGTCCCATTTAGTCCCATTTTTAGAGGCCAGGTCACCTATACCCCTTGGGGAGCCCCAATACGAATACGTTATACAACACCGGCGGCGGGTTAATGGTCCTAATATAATGGTTAAGTGCAAGAGTTGTAAACGTTGTTCATTATTTGGTAATGAAAAGTGTGGCATATGAATGAAATATATTCAGCCATTGGTGCATAGCAACGTATGTATTTGTATTGTACAATGCAATTAATTAAATAACGATCAATATCATCATTAATCGATTTCAAGTTCCCGTCGATTGTTCCCCTTTTATTTGACGTGACAAAATCTAATCATTCAAATGTATTTATGGCTACACCTATAATAGTCATAAATATACTTATTGTCAAGTATAGAATTCAATTTACAAAATAACAATAGTTATACTTGTATATTCTGGGACTATAAAAAGCAATTTGCTTAAAAGCTTGAAATCGATCAATATTGCGTCGTCATTGGATTTTGACATGACTTACAATTTACAGTGAGAGCAGATGGCATGTACACCTGTAGTCAGTGTCACTTAAACAATCTGAAATAATAAAAATATATCCCTCTACACCCCTACCCCTGCCCTACCCCTGCCCTATCCCTGCCTTACTCTAAAAAGTGAGCACTTTAATTTAATTTAACACAAACGGGGCAAATACGACATCAACATGACAGCTATTCTCTTTATAAAATAATAACAAAATGTCAAAATTGACAAATATCAACTATGACGTTATATATAAATATTTGACAAGGATGACATTTCCTGGTATTTTGATTCTATTAATTATTCCCATCTGAGATTACCACTTGTAAAATATTTCATTATTTTAAAGGTTACACACTCCTTACGGAATTATATTTTACTCGATAATATATTTTGGCATTTTTAAATGAAAACAATAATGTCAATTGCATTTTCTTTTGACGTTGATGTTATTGGCAATGAAACCAGTTATAAAAACATAAGGGATATTAAGTCAAATTCATTTACATTCAATTGCTTCAAAAATAAGTCTTCAATATAAAATACGTGTAGTTAAAAACTGCAGATAGAGACGATATATTTTTACCACATTTGAAGAATCTTTTGACAAGAAATTGTCAAAAATCTACCCATTTGATAAAATGAAGCCTCTCCTAAAACCACATATGGCTACGATGGTATACATCTGAATTAATAATAAAATGACTATTAACTCCATTACGCATTTTAAAGGAAATAGAATCAGGTGATATATTTTGCGGGGGTAAGCTTCAAGGCTATTGTATTAGTTTATAGCCTAGTGATGCACAGGTTCGGATTCAGTTATAACTTTATAGAAGATGCAGCAGGAGCAAATCGACGCTCTGTAACATTCTACTATCGTAAAACTAATAGAATTATTTAGAGATATAAAACTCGAAATTTGTTCCTCAGCCGTTGTCGACTAATTTAATAAGCAGATATTTTCTGAGTTGGATTGTTTTCTAGAATGGATCGAGTTTCGTTTATTTGATTTCACAGTTAAATAGAATGAAGCATTGGATATAGTCGGATTAACGGGTAAGTTGTTAATTGCTTTATATTAGAATCGCAGAGTTTTGTCTTTTCACGATGCCCTGAATCGAAGGGGAGAATGCTCCCATTCTGAGATTATATGATACATTTATAATCTCACAAAAGGCGCTGGGTATGAAACATTAGTGTCGTCGATGTTTGAAATGTTACGTTATGCAACCAATAACAGGATACCTTTGATGCAAACCTTTCTGATACCCATCATTCTGTTTTTCAACCAGAAATATTCTTAGAAATGAACGAATAAATCATGATGCATGTCAATATAATAACTGTTACCGAAGCGCAACAGTTATCAGCCCAAGTTATCATTCAAGTATTGTCCATGTTCAGATTTACGCCTCCGTCACATTTGTTCTACGGCAGACGTACGGCGACCGTTGCTTCACAAACTTGACATGGAAAATCTTCACCGAACTGGTTATCATTATATTCAACGCTCCATTCACTTCTTGATTTTTGGAAGCTACGGCCGCCGTATAGTTGCCGTAGAACAAATATGACGACATATCTAATGCGAAGCGTAACTCGGATTTTCTGTTATCACTACATTCTATCATATATAGAATTGTGTTTTAATGGGGTGACGTTGTTTACCAAGATATACACAACGCAGTCCACCTGTTTGGCAATTCCAATTCCCCATCGATTGAATAGCGTGTTGAATGATGCTTATGTGTGGATTATTTCCTTAATTTCGATAAATCGAACCTCATTGATAGTTATGACAGCTCTTTGACGATTGCCGAATATGAGCAGGTTTTAACTAATGATCAGTATGAAGATTGAGGATGCAAACATTAGGAGGATAGCTTCACCAGTGCACGTAAGCACAACTGTCAACAAGGCAAACATTTGGAGGATAGCTTCACCAGTGCACGTAAGCACAACTGTCAACAAGGCAAACATTTGGAGGATATCTTCACCAATGTACATAAGCACAACTGTCAACAAGGCAAACATGCATAATGTCAGAAACATGCAATTTCGTTCGGTTTTCATGTCACTACTACAATCGGTGACATAAAAATGGACAATAATTAATAAGAACAAATCGAGTATGCAAATATTCTGTAAGCAGAATCAGCTCAAATATCCGATACAAACCTACAGAGAGGCAATGTCTAAATATGACTACTCAACCATCTAACGGAGACTGTATAGTAGCCACAATCCAGAAATTAAATGACATCCCTTAACAAGTTGAAGAATAAAAACGCAAATTTAAACAAAATTGAATAAATAAGGAACGATATTAACGGGCCAGCATACTGTAAACACCCCAAAATGCATTATTGTGCAAATAAATCTTGTGCTTCATTTGCAGTTCAGTTGAAAATCGAGTGAATTAAGCATTAGAAAATAACATTTCGACAAGAGTTGAGCTATTGCGACGAAATAGAACATTATTGTTATTTCCTTTCTGCTTTGTGGAACAAATGGCATGTGGAACAAATTGCCTTTGGTTATGAGAAGAACAGAACACAGTTCTCGTAATTTGATTGCTTTGTCACTGCATTGCATTTAGGAGTGGTATTGAAATAAGTTTAGAGTTGTTTTTGAGATTTGAAGAGTTGTCTTGAAATGACTTCTCAGAGTGTTTTAGAGAATAAGGATTTGTTATAAGATAAGGTCAGAGTTATTTCAGTTATTTAAGGAGTTGTCTTGAAATAAGGTCGGAGTTGATTTGGAGATTTAGAGGGCTGTCTTGAAATGAGTTCAGAGTTGTTTTTGAGATTTGAAGAGTTGTCTTGAAATGAGTTCTGAGTTGTTTTTGAGATTTGAAGAGTTGTCTTGAAATGAGTTTAGAGTAGTTTTGGAATGAGTTTAAAATTGTTTTGGAGATTTGAAGAGTTATCTTTAAATGAGTTCTGAGTTGTTTTGGAGATTTGAAGAGTTGCCTTGAAATGGGGTTAGAGTTGTTTTGGAGATTTGAAGAGTTGTCTTCAAATGAGTTTATAGTCGTTTTCAAGATATAAAAAGTCATCTTGAATTTTGTTCAGAGTTGTTTTGGAGCACTTGAATATCCAAATACATTTCAGCTTCTTACGTTTACAAATCAGAAATCTATGAGGGACCATCAGTTTATTTTAGAAATCTCAATAGCAACATAAGAGACCAATAACAATATCAATATGACCCAATCATTGTTAAATAACAAATACTTGTGCATGATGTCGGCGTGTGCTTGTTTGAACATGTCCCTCTCGTTACATAATATGGCTATGCCAATGACTCTACGTAGGATTATGCTGAAACAGTCCATGGGGTCTTAGATGGGTGAGTAATGGCCAAAGAGACAACATAACGGATCAGATGAATCCTAAGTTATGGGCTATTAGCGTGCTTAGTTGTAATATATTGAACTCACCGGATGTCGGGAATTACTATACATAAAATGTAAACGTAGTAAATCTTAATTTCATTAACGATAACGTATCCTTAATTACACCCAATAACTTTGACATAGAGAGATTATTTTCATAAAATACATATCACGTTTTGACACTTACGATAACGCATGAAGATTGATTATTTGAACATAACTTTTGATTCCATAACCTTCGGGATTTCGTCCCAGGAAGAGAGTTACAGGGTCATATGTTCTAGTAGATAAGAGTACCAATAGGGGAGGGGGTAATGTAGTGCAAGGTGTAAATAAGCAAGATGTATACTATGAGAGGAAGATGGAAGGAGGATGCTTAGTTTTTCTGTGTGTTGATTGTGGTCTTGGTTGATTGTGGTCTCTTTTGCTTTTGCATACGTTGTTTTGCATACGTTGCAATTGTTTTGTTTTGTATAACGTGCTATAGGTCTTTTTCATTTTTGGAACTTATGTTGACATGCCAGTTAATCGAATTAAATAGAGAGAAGTCCTAGTTAAAAGGGCACATTAAAGGCAGAATCAAATCTATAGGGAGTGATCAAATTGCAAGCAACATTTAGAGTTGACATTTTAAAATCTCAAATATAATATCTCCCAAATAAGATCCATGCGATGTTATCATTTAGTGAAGTTGAAGAAGTTTCAATGTGGATATATGTTCGAATTATCTTAAATAGTAAATCTTGTAATCGTATCCATATTCAAATGGGTGCATTATTGTAAAATCGTTAGTTTTCCTAAAATGTATTTTCGGGATTGGTAGAAAAAGACATGAAAAAGAATGAAATGAGCCAGAAATATTCTAAATTTGTTTGTCTAAATGACCCGGTGTAAAAGAAATGATGGTCCCCCGGGGATTATGGTCCCCTTTCTTAACGGCCCTTACTGGCCCTGATTGCGTATAAGATAATAAGGGAAAGAGTTGTATTTAGGACACCATATAAATCAATGAAGAGTAGGCCATATTTTGATAGGACCTCCTACCCTTTTACACCGGGTCTCTACAAGACCACACGCTAGATCGTTGACACCTTGTACCTGTTAGCCTCGGATGATTGAGTCGAATATGTCTACACCACACTTCCGATAAATAATATTGAGAACTGTATTATTGCTTTTATATTACCTTTTTATCTATGCTTTGGGAAATAAACATGATTTTCCATGATTAAGAATTGTTAAACTGCTGCATATTTCCCAAATAATGCCTCGATCGATGAATAAATATTTTTAAAGTGACTGAACTATACTCAGTAAAGATTTGGTGCATTTTCAAGGAAAAATAAAGATTTTGCATTCAAATAACAAATGTTCCAATTCTTTTTGGACCACCCTGTAAAGTTCCGGCCTTGAAGTTCTCAATAGTCTTGAATGTTGATATCTACTGCTTTTTGTAATTCTATATTTTCAAGGTAACACATTGCATAATAAGAAAACAATTAGAAATACACCCATGTGTTTCCGGTATCATATACTTACACCCCCTTTCATAGGTTTTGCAACTGGAAGTTTTAATTGGATTAATATCAAAGGGTGTCAATGTTTAAATCTTAATTTTTTGATTCAAAATAGTTGAGAAAGTTACTCTGATAATTTGATTGAACATGGTTTGATCATAATAAGTCAGCTGGTTGCCATTATGAAGGCGAGTGTTTTGTCACTCGCAAGATGGAGGAGAGTGTTTTTGTCACTCGTAAAATGAAGGCGAGTGTTTGTGTCACTCGCAAGATGGTGGTGAGTGTTTGTGTCACTCGCAAGATTGAAATAATGATTGTCCCAATTATAAACGCAAAATGCTTTGTATTGGACTAAAATGAACAGGAAGTAAAGAAATGGACATGAATATATCAGTCTACATATTTGTGCATCTCAGCAGTTCATATATAATCAATTACTGTATAGGCGTAGTATGAAATAGTATGGCTAGAACTAAATTCATGAAAATGGAAAACTATGTTTCTGTATCAGTATGTGGGTAGATTAAATTGATCTATGAGTGGCAGTAATGCATCTTAATGTTTTGATCGGTTTAGGTAATTCACAACAATTTACTTTTCCAGTGTCAAAAACAAATGTAGCCCCTGCCTTGGATTCTAATTAACTTATTTTAACAACAACATTTATATTATTTATGTTGTTGTGAAACACCACAAAGTACGATTATGGAAGCGAGTTTTCAATTATATTTTTAAGATAAAGAATTCAATTCTACTACAAAATGAAGAAAATCAGTTTTACATATCTGATATATTGGTTGTAACCAATACTCAATTTCATGTTTAACACCTAAATGTAATTATACTACTATGTTGTACAAATCAATTTACAACCATCGACCGAAAAATTAGAGAAAATAGATTTATGTTTTCGTTTTCGATGAACCTGTAAACTATCTGTCAGTATGTTTATTTTATATCATTGTCAGACACAGGTTGTGTTTGTTATTCATATGATTTTTACGATTAAATCGATTAAATTGCCATTAAACTGTGTTAGTTATCATAAATTGATGAAGATATCTTAAATAGCGTTATTGTTTCTGTCGCCTCGTCGTTTTATACGTTTTACATTGTTTATTATAAGTTTGATGATTTAAAAC